ATCACAGGCGCCCTGTACCACCGTGGCAGAACTAACAAGGTCTCTGTTTTTAACCAGCTGTGGTATTTAACATAAAAGCTGAAAGAGTTTCAAATCTTTAAAGCTTTATTATTCTGCCAAATGCACCTAAACCAGCCCAGAGATCCAGAGGTGACTGAAGGAGACAGACACACAACACAACAACCTAAACCTCATTTCCTTAGGAAGCCAGGCTAATAATGAACAGTAAGATAAGAGCTGTCTGCCGCTGCTGATCTGCGTGGGATTCAAACCAGTTATCTGGTTATTTCATTGACACACCTAAGGCCTGGGAAGGAACAGGATGAGCAGGAATCAAATGAGGGAATGGGAATACCAGAAATAGAACAGAACGCAATTTTCATGACAAATTAGATTGCAGACCTTCTGAATAAGAACAAATAAAAAGCCATGACCCCTTAAATTATTGGTAATTTTTTTGTCCCAGTATATCTAAATGGGATTCACTTAAGGAATACTCAAACAATACATCATGTTTGTTTACATAAAACGATAAACAAATCATGCCTACTCCCTGTATTTACAAATTATTAGTTCTGGGAAGTTTTGAGCATTAATAGCCATCGATTAGAGTTTGGTCAGATTGGAGCCTGTGGAAATACTGCACGGACCCAGCACTCCCGTCTGTCACACTGCTGCAGGAGCCTGCACCTCGCTATGGAACAGGAAGGAAACGAATGTGAGTTACCATTTCTTATCAGTAAAAAAAACAAAAAACTTACAGGCTCAGTTCAAGATCTTAAAATTAGCAATAAACTTCTCAGGGAAAGTGTACGGCACAGCATTGCATTTTCTTACAGAGTCCCCAACTGTCCTGTGGTAACCAGAAGGAAGCGTGAAGCCTTGGATTGAAGGGATTTTTAATTTTGCCTTGCAAATATCTGATATTCATTCAGTCATTAGCAAACATTAAAAATAGCAAAAATTTGCACGGATGTAGGGTGTACCACAAGCTTTTTTATCACAGAATCACATTTTATGTACTGTTCCAATCACTTACTTACCATGCACTTTGCTTGTCAGAGGGAATAATATATATAGGGGGCTTTATTAGCTGTACAAAACCCACATATAATATTTACATTTCTTGTCCTGCTATGGAGCTACATTAACACTTGCAGAGCGCTCAGAGAGCTTGAGGTAAGTTACCACCAGAGCTGCACAGCAAGGGCAGTTCACGAGGAGGTAAGGAATGAGCTGAAGTTGGTTCAGCAAGTAGTTTCACCCAGTTATTTTTATGATAGAATCACTCACTCATCACCAATTCCCACACACGCCTCTTTGTAAAGAGGCAATCTTCTTGGAAGAGGCAATCCTCCTGAAAGAAGTCGCTAATTATTACTATCCAAATTAAGGCTGCTAGCATGAAACAGCTCTTCGTAGAACCCCCTTAAAAAAAAACCCGAACAAATCACCAACCCTCCCCTCTGCTTTGCATATCCAGGGTCAGTAGGAAGAGATTTCCTGTGCTCACAGCAGGGTACAAGGTCAGAGAGCAAGGGAAGGAATGAGAACATTTCAAACAAGGAACAACCTCCCCATTTTCCAACCCCTCCGCAGCATTTTCCACTCACTGCGAACCCTCCTCCGCAACCATCCCCTGCCCGCTGCGCTCACCCCCAGGTCCTCCCGCAGGCACTGGTACTGCTCCCGCACCGAGAAGCCCCTCCGTGCCTCCAGCTCCACTCGTGGCTCCCACAGGAAGAGGTCACGGAAACCCCGCAGCACCGCACCCTCGAAATCAGCCAGGACCCCATCCATGTCCACCAGCACCCGCAGCGGGCCGGCCGCGCTGCCCATGCCCACGCCGCTGCCTGCGCCCAGCAACACACGCGAGAGCAGGGCGGATCTTCACGGCGTCAACATGCACCAGCGTGGGCGGGGAAGCCACCTCTCAGTGGGGAACCCTTTGCCTGACACGGGTGGGCTCTGCCAGTAACCAGATTTACTTGCCAAGGGTGGAAAGAGCGAGCAACTCTTCAGGTGTCTCGGCACCTTTGCAGCGAGCGGCGGCTGCCGTGCTCCAGCCGAGGCGAAGAGAGAGGCGGCTTCGCTCAGCCAAAGTCTCAGCCCCTAAAGGAGTATTAACAAGTTCTACTGGTTGTGGGGTTTGCAAAGGAAATGTAATTGGATTATATTCCTCCTCCTAAGCCCAGAAAACAGGCAGGCACGATTTACATGCAGCCGGTGGCCATACGGCATTTCATACCAGCTCCAGGGAACAGCTCACAACCAGATGTAGGAGAGGAGGAGCATGTTAGAGCAAATCCAGTTTTATAGGTGAAGCACCTAGGGCTTCTCCAAAACTTACTTGGAAAGCCAGGGACTTATTTGGAAAGCCAGGGTGTTTTTAGGTACTGGTTCTTCCAAGAGGAGAGTGGAAAAGGCACACTCTCTCCAGCAGACACACCAGCTCTGGACAAATCCACTGCTGTGCCTATCAGGCAGCAGATCCCCTCCAGGACAGCAGAGAACACCCCCCCTCCCCTCTTAAGCTCTAATTTTTGTTTGTTTGTTTGGGGTTTTTTTGTTTGTTTGTTTTTGTGAGGAGAATAAACTTCCCTCTACTTCCTTGAGACAAAGAAGCATTTTGGCTAAACCAGATTACATATATCAAGCCATATTTCATGCTTCTCTGATTAGAAGATAAAAAAAACCCCAAAGTCAGACACTTTCTTCAAGGGAAGAAGGCACACGATGGCATCAATCCTCAAGGCAGGTGTAAGAACTCTCCTCTTCTGCTGCATTCCACCTCTATTAGAAAAGGGCAGGTTGGCTGAGACAAGGACAACTGAGAACAAAGCAAACCAAATCCATGAAATAAAACCCACACAGGAAACACTGCTTCAAAATTTCTATATTATTTACTTTTAAGCAACAGTCCAGCTTTGTGAAATTACAACACACACTTTAAAGGATGAGATTTTTCACCTCATGGTCAAGCACCAGCATGATCATGCACAGCATTGAGTCAGTTGTAAAAAAAATGCCCTGTAATTTTTATTTATTTCTATGATCCACTCCAACTTTACTGAATAAAGTCTGAATAAATCCCCTCCTAGCATTAGGCCAGGCGGCTCTGGTCATCAGCCCTCTATTTGGCACATACCCTGCATCATAGTAGTCCAGTATCAAGACTTTTTAATATTTTTTTTAAAGGCAGCATGGTGTACACTAACCACTTCATGATTGATATGGCACAGCAGGGCTGAAGGCATTTACCACATGCAGTCAATGAAGCCTTTTAGATGCCCAAATCCCACACGTGGAGGAAGGGGCTGCTCTTGCTGATTGTTTGCTGGCCTGTTTAACCAGGATTCTAGACCCTTGTAAAGCTAAGGGGTTCTAAAAAAATCTCAGTACAAAAACCCTCTAAGCACACTTAGAACCAATCTACTCTCCTTTGAATTACATTACTATACTTCATAAAGCTTTCCCTCAAAGTCTATCACTAGAAAACACTCATGTCAATTCCAGTAGATCTGGGGGAAACACAGGACAGAAGTGGAAAAAAAACCCTTGATCTCAAAAAAAAAAAAAAAAAAAAAAGATGGAGTACATAAAGTGCTTCTTTTTTAATGAAAGAAATTCGAGATGTACAGTCAGGCTCAAGTTGTGCAGTTCACAAGCATAGGGGAAAGAAACAAGACACGAGATCGAAACAGTCAGGAAGGGAAAGGTTTAACCGAGGACTAGGCTGGACTTGCCACCGGGTGGATTTCTCCTGGATGGTGCTGGTGCTACTGGGCTAGGAACAGGTGCAGCAGGCAGGGATTTTTCTTCATTCTGACCTGGGGCAGCTTCTACATCAGCCTCAGTGTTTTCTAGAAGAAAAGAAGCTTTTAAAGTGTTTGATGTGGATGATGAAAGACAAGATCTTTTGCTGGCTTAGACAGAAGATCAGCTCCTGTAAGTTTTCTCCAGGCTTACAGACACACTCAGAGTGCTGCTGTAACCTTCTGGCAAGACAGATTTCCACCCTCTGAAGTGTTTTTCAGATGAACTCTGATGCCTTTCAGTTCAGCTTCAGGCATTCAAGAACCACGTTCACTCAGCTACTATTAGAGGACTCCAGTAATTTTTAATTTATTTTTTTTTAAGTGACAAGCAGCTTAAATCTTGTATTAGCAGATGACTATGACAATTGTAACTGGAGCCTGAGCAGGTGCTGGAAACCAAGTCACAGAAGCACCAGTACTTGTAAGCAGGAGCTCAAACTACATATTCCAATTTCATAACTAGAGGGAAGAGTATCTGACACACTTCTGAGGCTTCACACAGAACAGACAAGGGAGTAGCCATGCATGGGTAGGTTCTGATTGTACATTCCCTGGAAAGCACACAATAGTCTCATCTATTTTAAATACTTCTGAACAACCACAAGTGGAGACAGGACACAGAAGGAATTCTTCACAGGAAGCACTTTAGATACTGTAGGAAATAACTCCTGTTATCTGCTTGATTGACAATTAATTCATGAGCACAGCAAGTACATTAGCACTTCACATTTTCACAGATCAACACAATCGATTATGAGCCAAAGGCCCAAATCAGCACCAAGCAGCCCCCCAATACCTGGTGGGCTGAGGGGAGCAGAGCTTCACCGCTGGCTCTGTGAAGATATACTTTGTCTGTTTGGTTTTTTGGGGTTTTTTTTTAACAGACCTTTTTGTTTCATCTAATGATCACTAGTTCTTGCTTTGGAGGATTTGAGGAACAGCTGCACATTCACCTTAACCTCCACAATTTAGTAAATCTTGGGTGTATTCCCTCTCCCTCAGCCTTCCCTTCAAACTGAAGAGGCACAGCCATTTTAGTCTCTCCTCACAGCTGCTGCACCTCCCTACCCTTCCCATTACCTTCCTCTGCCCCTTGTTTAACTCCACTACAACCTTCTGGCCTTTCAGTTTCAAGGACTGTATACACAACTCAAGATGAAGGCATATCATTGTTTACAGAGGCAAAATAACATCTTGTTTCCCATTCTCTCCCTGGTGACATTCCACATTTTCCTGGCACCTCCAAATATTTCAGAGAACTTTCAGCAATAAGACAGATCCCTGGAGTTAACTGCTGCACAGAGGTGAACACGAGACCAGTATGGATTAGGTGTTGGTGGTTTGGTCCCCTCCCCACAGAGGCATTACATTATACTTACTTATATAAAGATTATTCTGCCACCTTTTTACCTGCCTATCTTGAGTCCTTCTGACAGTTACGATTTTCTCACCATCAGCACATTTAGCTACTTGAAAAAGCCATTATCAGCAATAAAATTGGAGACTTCACTGTTCGTTGCCTTTTCCAGGTCATAGAGGAAGGCAGTGAATAAAACTAGTCCCAGCATCACTGCCTGTGGCTCATTTTTCAAACCTGAAAAGCAATCACTAAGCCCTACCCTTTGCCTCCTATTCCACACCTACCTTCCTACCCACAGGAGCAGCTCTCCTGCAATCCTGTGGCAACTCAGGTTTTTAAGGGGTTTTTTGTTGTGGGTTTTTTTTTGTTGTTGTTGGTTGGGTTGGTTGATTTTTAATAACCTTTGATACAGAATTTTATCAGAAACACTGAAAACCCACTTGTGTCACTGAACCCCCTGTATCCATGCTTGTAATAGAATCTGTACTGGGTTTGTGTGGCAAGGTTTTGGT